ATTGTCATCATTATGGACACTCAGCACCTGGCACATCCACTTGAAGATGACTGGAAAATGGACAGATCAAAACATTATAAAATTCAACAAAAAAGAATAGCAGTTTAATTTAGATTATCATTATCAAAACTGTGCACTTGAAGATCAAAACATTATAAAAATCAACAAAGATAAGGATAGTTGTCTAAATCATCTGAGATAATGTATCTCCCCCGATTTTTCTTTATGAATAAAGATCAAACTTGAATTAGAATCTGACAGAATAAGGAACAAATAGGAAATTTTTATAAATTTAACGTGTTTTACTTTTATTTAAACTTCATCAGAAAATGAAATAGTGAGGAGAAGAAAAGATTCTGGTATTTTTATTTTTGTATTGTTTTTCATTGATTAAGCAGAACTTATATGTATCTGTCTTGTCAAGCAGCATTTGTGTATATAATTCATGTGTGTTTGTCTATTACAATTCTTGTTGGTCTATGTGGGATTTAGTTGATAATGTGTATGTATTTGAGCATCTAGGGAACTTTTATTTATATGTTGATTGGAGGATGTTTTGTTTGAGAGTAAAAATATTTAAGCTACACCAGTTGTTGTAGACAGATTCTTTAAGTATAGATTTTATAAAAGTTGGTGATATAATAAAGTGTGTTTGACATGTGTTTATTGATGGTAAAATATTTATCAAGATTCCTTCTAAGTATTTTCTACATAATAAATTATGTTCTTTTCATATTAGGTTGGGATTTATTAAATCAAAATTATGGCCTGTTTTGTTTCTGTGCATTATGAGTGAGTTTAAAGGGTTGTCAAATTTTTCTCCATGAGTATTTTTATCTATTTGTTGATGGATTTGTCAAAATTTAGCAAAACAGGTGGAGTAATGAAATTAATTTATTTTGGGTTCTTGAACTAGACTACGATTCCGTCAAATGTTATGTGATAGTCAATAAAAACTAGCAAAGAAACAAAGACAATGACATTAACAAGAAGGAGAAGAAGTAGCTTAATTAGCCAAAATGGTATTGTGATTGCTTGTTGGCTAAGTAAGTTTCCATGCTATGATTCAATTTAATTTGAAATATGAAAAATACTTCAGCTGAAAGATTTAAACATGGGGAAATAAAATGTTCAAAATCTCTCTCTACTAGTTAATTAACACATATGGTATTCTCTGCCAATACCTCATAAATTAAATTTTGATTGTGTAGAAAAATGGACAAGATATATTGGAGATGCCACTTAGTTTCAGTGAGAAAATGAAAGAAGATTGTGTTTTAATGTCTGTTTCAGTGAAAAAGTTGTCAAATTCATATCTTTTCATATGTACCCCCTTACTTCTTTAAATAATGACCAGCATTCATATTGATGATTATTATTGCAATATTTTGTTAAAGTTGTTAGGTTCAAATATTTAACAATGCAATAAAGGAATTTCTATGGATATTTTATTGCTGCAGAACTCACCATGAGCTTATTTAATCATTAACTTAAGAATTATGATTCATCAGAAATTTCAAATAGGAAAATCATGGAATTTTCACAGTTATTTCTAGTGCAAAATGAATGGGTATAAAGTCAAAATCATAAAATAAAAGTAAAAATTTCACCACACGCAAGGCAATAAAGTTAATAAGATGCAAGGGGTTACTAAATGTAAAAGAATAGGAGAAAAAGAAAAGAACATTATTAAGGAGCGTGAACAATAAAAGAAGAGGAATTAAGAAGACAAAAGATAACGATTGACATTGATCTTCAAAAATTTAAATGCAAAGTTGACTGGAAGCAAGAAGCTGAAAGAGAGGTCCACAAGCGAGAAGTGCAAGTGAAGAAACTGTTAGAATAGAACTTACAATTACATCTCTCAATTTCAACTGTGAATTGACAAGACCTTGCCATCAATCTAGTATTTCACTTAAATTCATTAAGTCTAGGTACTATATAGGAAAGTTCATTAGAACATGAGAACCATTTATAGGAAAAGCACAGGGAAGCTACATTATGATGGTGGGAAAGGGGCTAAAGCTAAAATGCCAGCTCAGGACCAATAACATTGCAGATTGTTATTTTGATGCATAGCAGAAACACTATGAAGATCAAAGTTGAGTGGAAAGCAAGAAGTTAGAATAGAGTTCCACAAGTAAGAAGTACATGAGGAGAAACTGTTAGCATAAAACTTAGTTACATTTAGCAGTT